CCTAAATAACAGATACCAATCAGGAACAAAACCCTCATTTTCAAATATAACTCCCTGTATAACTCAAAAAAAATAAATAAAATAAAGACAATCGAGGTTTATAAGTCTTGACACAAACTGTAGTTGGAATTAAAATCCTCACATGCAGATCATAATTCCGGAAATCTATAAATATTTATAAATAAACTCACAGTGTAATTATGAGTAATCTCAACCACTGGCTCCTGCTTAAGCATAAACAGCACTTTACAGCAAAGGATGGCATGAGGACATCAAAAGCTTTCTTGTCAGTCAATGAGAAGAAATCTATTGAATTACTCAACCTCCCTAGAAATGATCTAAGGTTATCCCTAGGAACTCTTACAGGACATTGTCGACTCAACAAGTATCTGTGCAATATTGGATTCTATCATCGATCAGGATTGCAGTGCCTCTGGCTCGTCGCAACGTGTAGTAACACATCGCTAGGCTGGAACCCTCTCACATTATTATGTTGATCAGCACCTGTCTTGGAAAAAAGTGAAACCTAGCATAGGCAGTTTGAAATTGCATGACAATTGCCTTGGTCAAGGGCAAGACTATGCTAGAATGCACCTTATTATCAACACTGGTTTTATGAGCTTTGATAAAATTAAAATAGAAGTTTAGATAATTAACAGTAGAATTCCGATATTATCAGAACTGTTCTGATATTACGATGCTGAATATTCTGATGATTTTATCTAAACAGTTTTGTAATATTTTTTTTTTAAATAAGAATCGCAAAAATAAAATAACTGAATAGTTCTGAAAAATTCTGTTAAATTAACAGAACAAATCCAAAAAAATTATCAGAATAGTTCTATTAAATTTAACAGAACAGTTCAGTCCAGCCTATGCAACACACCCAAAAGAAGCATAATGTCGTCAGCAGTCTTTAGAAAAAGTCATATTCCCCCATAAAGTAACTGAGCATGTCAGCGAAAATTTTTCTGCACATCCAAAATTGATCATGCTGCTTTTGTTGTCAATCAAAAAATAATAAAATAAAAAGTCATGCTTTTTAAACTTGGCAACATAGCTTGTTGATGCACTTTGAGTGAATAACATCAATACCTGCATTTATCAAAACAGTCTGTAAATAGATGAAAAAAAAAACAACAAAATGTCACAAACAGCCATAATTTATACTAATAATAATTTAAATTAATCTTATAGATAGCTTGTTTTTGTGTGCTTCTTTGCCTCTATCATCGACGACATTCAAGTTGTAAACAAATTGGTTCATTTTTCATTTTCTTTATTGGCAACGTAAGTAAGTAAATAAATAAGTAAGTCGTGTGAGAGAGAGAGATCGAGGCATGGAATGAGAAATAACGTAAATACACCCCCACTCAGAGCAATCAGCCATAATGACCACAATTTATTGTGCTTTAATTGTTTCTTCTTCACATTATCCCTCCTGTAAATGATAATGTTCGGTCTCTCTCTCTCACATTGCAATCAACGATGACTTTATGGTCACATAAAATATTTCTTCTTGTGTTGTGCATTCACATACAGTTTATTTAGACAGTACTACTGCTTAATAGCACTCACAGTATCTTAACAAAAAAAAGTAGTAAGGATTATGCAAATTCTCTTCTTCAAAAATTGTTGCTAGGTGGATATTACAATGTATTAATATAGTTGAAGAAGAAACAAGCGCTGCAAGATGAAGCAAGTATAAAGCTATAGCTTATAGTAAGTTCCTTATAGACGCATTTATTAGTTTTTGAGGTGTGACTTCATATTTTTTACGAACGTGATTAGAAAACAAAAGAATATGCTGAGCAACTTTAAATCCAATTTTATGAACTGTGAGCAGAGTTGATATTTATCCATATGCATGGATGTGTAATACGTGATTCTTGTGTCACAACCATATGACAACCCTGTTAGCTCAATGTGAAGCCCTAAATGTCACTCGTGCAGAAATATTATCCAATGACAACACTTTCCTTTACCTAAAGTGCAATGAAGCATATAAATTAAATGATAGTCTAGTATTCCTTTGGCTTACTACACTTACTTACAGCAAGCAAACAATAAGAGGCACAACGAGAGAGAGCAGTTAAAAGCTCGTGTATGCCATTTCATTAGAATAAATTCAATAAACGTGTTTTAAGGAAGAAAATACTTTTTTAAGAGTCATTACAAATTCAAATCATATCATGAATAAAGCTATAAGGTATATCCAAAATAGTTGAAGCGTTTTTCAATTTTCTCAATGTGTATGAATACACAATTAATGAATGGTGATTGCCTTCATATATTTATACGATTTTGTATTTACACATTCGCCATGTGTACACAGGCCATAACTGCTTCTGTTTCTGCTATATTGGAACTACTAAATAGCGAAAATATAAAAAAAGAGAAAAATTGTAAACAAGAAAATAAATTACAAATCTCGACTCACTTAAGTTAGCTAGTATATTGATTGTTAAAGGAAGAAAATCATGTAAAGAACCGGTTAAGAGATTTTCAACAGATTCAAGGCGCCGGCAAACTGTTGAAACGCTTTTCACTTCTATTTTCTATCTAATTACGCGATTGTCGTTAGATTCAATTGCGATAGACACAAAACTTTCTGTATATCCACAATAAATATTCATCTCTTCCTTCATCTCATGATATTATAAGGGGAGGTCATTTAAAGAAGACGAACATCCTTCTTTGAAATCCTTTCGTCTTCAAACTTCCTCTTCTTATTCCACCCTTTCATTTCAGTAATGAAAAAAAAAATACAAACCTTCTTATGGCTTATTTTGGGACTCTTGTTTATCAACAAACTATAATGTTTCAGAGTTGTTGAAAATAACAACGTATGTATGGATGGAATATTGTATATATTTGAGTAAGAGCATACAACGACAAGCAATGATGCTGTTTAAAAGAAAGGATGAAAAAAAAATATAAAAAAGAGTAAAAAGTCGATTCTGTGGTTGTGGAACTTAGCGCATTCAGAAACAGATTCGGAATTTTAGGGCCTAAATCTCTTTGGTGATTAGATTTAAAGCAAGAAAAAAAAGTATTGAAGCACATACAGCTCTAGATTATTCTCTTGAAACGTATATACATAATCATAAAAATGGATGAATATTGAATAAATGTCCAAAGGGTTCAAACCTCTGGATACTAAAGTTGGTGAATAGTGACAGGATTAGAATGTGATTGACATTTAAGTACTTACTGTACTCGCTTCTAAAAATCCATAATTTCTGAAACATCAAAATGCTCCCCAAAATGATGCTCGATATCCGAGAAAAGTCGTGCAAAAAAAAAAATTGAAATGTGTATAAGCATAAAAGACTCTTATTTTATGATCATACATACAGATATATATATACACATATGTACGTAAGTATATTTATTATGATACAACACAGTGCTATTTTTTTGTTTTGTATAAAAAAAGTGGAGAGCAAAAGAGAATATCAAAATAAAGAGCCTTGAAATTTGAATCAAATGAAGAAAAAGAAGTATTTTATGTATGTTTCTATTTTGTAGGCCTTTTTTTTAAAAAAAAATAAATAATAATCATAAAAAGAATGAAAGAATCGAAAGAATCAACGGGAGTGAAGCATTATAACACTTGATAACATTGGAAGCAGAAAAAAAGCTGATGTTTGCTATTTCTCCTATGATGTTATGATATTTCCATAAATATAAAATTAATGGCACCCTCCTCATAGGAGATCCATCAGAAATAAAGTAAACATATTTGATGCTATATAGCTATAATATAATGCTAATACAATTTAGAATTTATTAGATTTTATTTCTATATGATTTTTTTGTGTGCTGTATCGTAAACATGATATTGTTATTTATTCGACAAAATATAGAATAAATCGACATGGATTAATATAACAGCGATGGTGCTACATAACAGAAATTAATTCAGTATATATGAGTATATAGAATATGAAGAAGTGGAAGAGAATAAATGTTTATGTTTAAATCTTTATTTTCATATATGTAGGAGACATTTGGATATAACATAACACTTAGAAGGAGCGACTAGGGCATATTCAGAAGATATATTGAATTTATTTCCGAAAAATAATAGCAAATTGTAGATTTTACTGGTATCAAACCTCCCTGACTAGGCACCAACTTAGGGATTTTGTCGGACTATACTGCTTACACATTTTGTCAACTGTCTGCACTTATTTTTTAATGGAAAGGTGATGTAATATCAGAATGACCCAACATGTATCCAGTGTTTGCATGTAAAATGTGTGTGTGAGATTCTGTATGACTGTATATAGGCCATAGATCGAGAGAACAAAAATATTGTTTAAGCCCTTTAAATTTTTAAATAGCCCTTTGTGCTTTGTTACGCACAACGTCCTTGAAATATTTTTTTTTCGGAGATTTTTTCGCATAGCGAACATAAAACAGCTGGCTTTATTATTAAAAGCTAAATTATTTATTTCCCTTGTTAACAGTTTTGACGAGTTAAGTATTTTTCGTCCGATGTAAGCCATGCTTCATATCAAAATCAATTTCTCTTACATCATATTACACATCTTTTTCCGCATGATACCTGTTGAAAGTTTATTATTATTTTATCTTAGCTTTTTCTTTCACAGCATCAAGACAAAACAAAATAAAAAAACTAAGGCATGAGTAAAAAAATAAACAGCAGCATTAATATATATAAAAAGGTCTTTTATATTGTTGCACATAAGGGAACTGGTTTTTTCCTCATTCTTTGTATAACAAAACACAATGTTGTTAGAAGAGGCAAAAAATCAGAACTGAGCTCTATATTTTTTCTGTTTAATTTACGAGAAAAGACTTTGCTGTTTAAGATGTTTATCATTGAACAAAAACAAAGAACCACCGGCAGTTTAGAAATAAAGGAAAAGGATGTGATGATCAAATTTTTTTTTGAGGTGTTATTTTTATTAATATTACGGGGTTTTTTAGAATTTTTTGTTCATTGAAAATTAATGAGAAATGTTGGAAGAGCTTCTTATAACTGTTATGGATCTCAATTTAGATTATTTGATAGGGGTTCTCTAATGTGTATCATCTGCATTAAACTGGTTGTTGGATATAAGTTTTGACACTTTATGTGATTGCTCAGAGATCCCGGTACCTTTTTATTGACCTTTCTCGCTTTTTATGCTTACCAAAACTGGAAAGGCTTTGCATCTCGAAATCTGCTTGAAAAAAAAGAGAATTGACACACTTGATGCTTAATCCAAAAAGATCTAATTTCACTAATCAGGCATCAACAAGATTTAAATAATCTTGATAATCAACAAAAGATTCATAATTACTGCCATAAGCTATAAAATGCTTAGATATGAAATAACAATAAACATTAAACAACAATATTGTACTAATACAGCTCACTTAAATGTTTTTGCATCCAGCTCTCAAATTTGAGAAGACATAAAAAAATTCAGCAATCGATAAACAACTTTAGCAGAACTCTTTTGAAATTTTTATTACGAATTAAAATTAAAAACACACTCTTTCTTTCAAAAGCAATGGAATCAATTTCCAGTAAAATGTTTTTCTCGTTTATTTGGCTTTTTTTATGCATGCAAAATATGTATATATACGTTTATCGAATGACATTGTTAGGTGAAGCACATAAACAAACATTTTGGTTTACAAAGAAAAAGGGAAAAAAATTTAAAGAGATTTCAAACAAAAGACGGAAAGCGAGCATTAAAATTAAATTTTGTGGAAAAAGGGTGTTGTTGCTTCTCTTTCATTTCCATTTCTTTGTGATTACTTGTACGTGATATTCACAAATGGAAAGAATGTGAACGTTTCTCGTCTTGAACATTACAGCGAACGAGTAGCTTTGATGTAAGTTGATTAAAATGCAAATAAGACTTTAATTGCTTACAGGAGAGAACCTTTTTCCTCTTCATTGTTGGCCTAAATGAATTAATTTGAGGCAATTTATAAAAATGAAACTTTTCGTAATTATTTGTACTTTTTGTATGTGTACACACACAAAAACTTAGTTCCCATTCTTATTTCTTAATCATCATTCACTTTTCAACTGTTGACTCCATCTGATTTTTATCATTTTTATTTATCTACCTATCGTTTATTTTCAGTCCAAATACAATGATGTATAAACATATGCGTGCGTGACCAAAGATAGAAAATCCGCAATCAAATGACTGACTGACCGACTAGCTATCATCATTGTCTCGTTCTATATGAAAAAGAAATTTAGAAGTTCGTCCAATCATTGAATGGATGATGCGCATTATTTTATAGCAACGAGGTGCCAATTTGTGATGTACGACTTCTCTTTAAGAATTTTGTATTTTGTATTTATTTTTGATCAGCTTCTACGGAGTTCTGTTTGGTTTGAAATTAACAGTAATATCCCAAAAATAATTCTTTTTTTGGAAGTACTAAAAGTAAGTGTTGATGACTGATTCTCAAGCTGATTAGTGTGTATCGTTCCAAACTAGATACCAACGGGGCTATAATAAACAAAAAAGTTTAAAATAGTCATTAGATCAGTTACGTATTCTTGACAGACAAACAGATAAAGAAAGGCAGGACAAAAGATTAGAATTAAATTGAAAAAGCGTTTAAAATTTTAATTGCAAACTTTAGAGTATCGTTAAAAAGTAATTAGTAAGTTTAGCATGACTATAAAAACTTGAGTGATACATTTATAGTTTGTAAAAATGGAAGCATCGACAGAGAATGAACAATAGAGTATTCATTTCAGTATAGCACCAGAAAATAACGATACATTTAATTTACTTATTTCAATAATGCGATGGTATTATATGAATTTTAATTAAATATTTTTTTTGTACAACAATATAATACTCTGTCCGGTAATTATTGTATTATTTCCTGTAGCGTTCATACATTTAGAACAATTATTTTACTAACGCATAATTAGTGGTGCCTTTTGACGGCAAGTGCTCGCTCGTATGTAGTTGTAGATGTGGATTGTATAATAACTTACGCGTTTCCTTCTTATTTTCGGGTTTGTTTATTATCCATTGTTGTTAAATTAATTAACCAATTTATTCCACATTTAAATATATAATCTCTCACAACCTATCTCTCTTAAAATATATTTTATTTCATTAAATATTCTATCCATACCAATCCATACATTCTTCATGTGCGTCACTTTTTTATGTTTTTAATTTTTCGCTTGACATTGACATACAGAAGAATATTATACAGGCACTGATGCAAATAATAATAATAACAACAAAAAGAGACTTTGCTTAATGGCTATGCATAAATTTTCATTATAACTACTACGGCTCTCTATATATATTCATATTCCCCACAAAAAAATATAAGGAAACGTAAAAAAACAGAAATTTCTTTTCTTGTGGTGAACTATATACAGGCAGGCTTTATGAAGATCAATAATTTTATTTATCAAATTATTTATTGCTGTGTGTCATGAAAAGATCCAAACGATACATACATACTTACTTATTATCGTTATGGCTTGAGGTATAAAAGTTTACCAAATGAGTATAATAAATGACATCGAAATTTATCGCGCTTTTTGCCTTGCGATTTTAACGAGATCGAGAATCGTAAATTTTAAGATTTATAAAATTTGCACAAAAAAAATAAAATAATTTCGACTAGTTCTTAAAAAAATGATCAAAATAGGCGAGAATTCGAGAAATTTTGATCAATTTCCCAAATTAAGTTGAGCTGAGGTTAAGCTTTGTAAGTTTCTATCTTCATTAAGTTGCGATTCTGGTAAGTTGATAATTTAAAAAAAATCCACAAGTTACTAATTTAGTTGTGAAATGTTGAAATTATTGCATAGCTGACTTTCAGTCACGTTACTGATAAGTTTAATAAACTTTTGTTTCTAAGACATTATAAATATTAATTGCTGAAGGTTCCTTTTTTCTTTTATCACCATTTCCTTGTAAATTTCTATAGAATTCATTCTATTTGACATTAAAAAGAATTTTCTTTTCCTTCCTTTACTTTTATTGTCTCGTAATTAGTAGTTTGCATACATTTATATCCTGATAACTTTTGTTTCCGAACGCACTTAATGTAATTTCTTTGACTTAATACAAATTACGAATGTTAAATGTTTATAAATGATCAGATATTCATTTAAGTGAGAAGATAATGTTCATCATAAATTTTATTAATGCCAAAAATAATTTTCTTTGATCATTTTTCATGCTTCTTATTTTTTTTTTGAATTTCTTATTTTTTTGGGTATTTATAACTTTGTATTTATTGCGTTCTCTTTCTTACCGCTCTTTTTTCTGTAAATCGGATGACTTTTCATTCTTGAAACTTGTCCTCAAATAGATTTTTAATTAAGAAATTTTATTAGGAATTTTATAATTTACCATGAAATACCACCAAGCTAGGAAAAGATACCCAAAAAAATTCACATCAACCAGCTTAGCTTGATATTATCTATCTTATTATAATTTACGTTCAATTTAAAATGAGAATCAGAAACAGAAATTCAATATTTTTGAAACTCGAATGAAATAAGCTTGGCCCGTGTTGTAGGTATTAAGGGAATTCTAGAATTGACAATGGATTTACTTTATATTGCTACATTGCCCATTTCATTAATATGGTTTCACAGAGTATGTCAATGGAAACATGAGAATTCATCTCGAAGCAACTAAATTTGTTTTCCAAACAAAGTATTGCAAAAAAATCTGCTTTATTTGCTAAATGTGTGACCATACGACCTCCATTATTATCAATATTCAACTATTTAGGTTAAAAGACTTGACAATGATTTATAAATTGAGATTAGAAATTTATTATTTCCGCGTCTTCAAATTTCAGCACAAACAAATGATAAAATTTATTTCTACACAAAAACAAGATCCATAAGCACTCCCAGATTATTCAATGCATTAACAAAATTATTTGAAATGATCCTCATCGCACTCCAGCTAAGCTGTTGATGAGCAGAATTTTAATTTCATTCATTTTTATTTTTTCTATCGCATTCTCACCCAATAACTTAAATTTTTTTCCAAGGTCTTGCTCATTTTATATTTTCTATTTTTTTTTCGCTTAAAATTTATTCGATGAGAGAGAACTTTACATAGTGATGGAGTAAAATGCGTAATTTATGTAATAGTCAGAGATATTTTCATTACAGCCTATTTGTATTTCCATTTCTATTTCCACATATAAATATTAGATTTCATGAGATGCATAAATGAAAGAAATACTTATTCTATTTGGGTTTCCAGTGCAAATATACTCGCAGACGATAATGAGGAGTATTAAGAGGTCGATAGGAACAGAGACGATTGATAAGTGGTTGAAACTAGTTTAAAGTCTGTATTTTTCAGTTATTTGTAAATTAGCCATTTCAAAACACTTCATTTAGACAGTTCTACTCAAATACGATATTAGTTTTGTAAATATTTGGAAACTGGGCACTTACTCAAGTCCAAAAATTGAAATATATAGAATCATGACATAATTGTAAAAATTAAACGATTCATTCTTTGCATTTTATTATAGCATTAAATTAATTATTTTCACTTAATACGTGACACCTACGTCATTTTTCAATTTAATAATTTTTAATCTCATGATGAGATTTCGTTACGAATGTTTGTATATTTTGATGTACATTCAATGCTTTAGATTAAAAGTATCAATTTCTCGCTATTTTAGTTTGGTTTGGTTGTAAATAACAAGATAATTTGTATTATTTGGACATTTTAATTTATTTATGCCTTACAGCCGTCATTCTTTGTTTTTGTATTATTAAACAATAAAAGATAAATTTTCTGATAACAACATTTTGTTATTTTGGCACATTTCTACACGTTTTCATCCAAGAAACCTTGAAAGAGTTTGATATGAGTTTTTAGAAAAACTTGATGAAAATACTAAGTTAAAAGCTTGAACTCTATGAGTACATTCGGTTTCAGCCTATAATTAAAGATTTTGAATTTTAACTAGTGCTCAGTTAACAGTTTCAATTACAATGAAAGATCCCTCAATATCCAAGACTCCCTACTAACAACTCTGGGACCAGATATACGCGAATAATATAGCTACTGCTATAATAATATTTAATTTCTGATTTTAAAAACATCTTTTATTACCAGTTGTATTTACATTCTAGTATAAATACCTTACGTTAAAGTATGTGTTGAATTTTCAAGTTCTATTAGAGTTTTAAACTCAAAATTTGAACGATTTCAAGGGTGTTTACTCACCAGAAAGCATTCAAAGTGCTCACAAATCAACTTTATTTCTTATTTTTTCAATAAGCCGTAGCGGCAATATTACAAAAGTTTTGTTCGTGGTTTTACACATCAATAAAAAAAAATACAATACATGACCAGCACGTACGTAAAACAAAAAGCTGAAATATTAATTTAATAATTAAGTTCACATAAAAGAAGAAATATGAATTAATTAAAATAAATTTGACATCGAATTTTGCTTA